TGCGTGTCGCCAGCGACCCCCCCCCCCCCCCCCCCGTGGGTATATCTGCCACATGTTGTGGAGGGCAGGGCATTGGAGGTGTCTGAGCCTGGCTGCAGTCACACCCATGCCCCCAAGATATGCCAGGCAGGGCCCAGCACTGGGCAGCTTCTGGGCTGGCAAAGGCACCAGGACAGGACAGGTGTGGCTAGGAAGCGCAGTGAACTGTGAACATGCAGGACTGGGGATGTCACCAACATGCATCTCCAGGGGCAGGGCAAAGCTATGGGCCCTAGCCCAAAGATGCTGAGCCCCTCATTGCAGACAGTGGTCCGCTGCTGCCCACCTTCTTGTGCTGTCCAGGCAGTCATCTCTGCCCTGCCTTTCCCACCTTGCTGGAGGAGGATTCTCTGGCCGTCTCTGACCTTACCCACCTCAATGGGCAGGGCAGAGCCAGCTGCCCAGGTGGTGCTGCAAGGCGGCCAGCAGTGGAGCACAGTCCACGTGGAGCAGCTCGGCATCCGTGGAGCTGGGTCCCATTGCTTTTGCCCCTGCCCTTCCCCCAACCCTGGGGGTGTGCATTAGTGACAACCCTGGCCCCACAAACCTGCAGTCTGCTACACCTCGAAGCCATACCTGCCCCTGTCCCCAGTGCCTCTGCCAGCCCAGGAGTTACCCAGCACTGGGCCCTGCCTGGCATGTCTTGGGGCATGTATTCGGCTGCAGCTGGGCTTGGATACCCTCAGTGCAGCCTTGGCTCCCTGGCCGCCCTGCAAAGAAGGGTTAGGAGGGGAGCCACAAAAGTTCCTCGGGGGCCTGCAACCTAAGCTGACTCTGGAGGGGATCTGGTGCAGAAGCTAGCCAATGGGAAACATGTTTCTTGTCAAGTCTCACTAGCAGCACTGAGAAAGTGATCTTGAAATACAAGAAGGTAGCTGCATTCAGATATTGTTCAGAAGTTAGAAAATTAATAGGTTCTCTTTTGTTTCAACTTACTGTGCTGCTTTAGAAGATGGGATGGCTGCCCGGAAACTGTGACATGAAGCTTTGAATTCCTAAACCCTCTAAACCAATTAGAAAGCATTGGTTCTCATTTTCAGAGCATTTATGTAACTATAAAGCATAGTCTCCCTGACATTGCTTTTACGTTTTCCCTGGAGATTTTCCTGCTTACATACTTCTCACTTTTCTGCAGCACAGTGATTACACCATTACACTTCAGTAATCATTTAACAGCTCTAATTACAGAATACACTGATCCTGGCTGTGTACTTTGTCCTTTGTCCTTTCTTTGTCTGTACTTTTTTGCCATCATGGTGCTGAGAAGTTCTCCAATGAATATATCTTCTTTAGTCTTGCAAAAATAAATTCCAGAGACACAGCTTTGGTAACGTACAAATTCACGTTCTTGCTTTACTTTTGAGTTACGGCACTGGATGTGAGAGAGAGGGAGAGGTTTGATCTCACTTACATCAGTCTTTTACTGGCATATTTTCACTGACACTAATGCAGTTACATCAACATAAAATTGGAGTAACTCTAACGGCATTAAAAATCAATGGAATTACACCGATATAAGACAAATGTTACTCCATTGATTTTATGATGGTATGACTTTATTGATTGTAGTGGAGTTAAGCCAGTTTAATACTTTTGTAAGTGAGATCACAGTCAGCTGCTACATCTGTGTAATGTATGTACGACTTGTGTGGTTTTGTTTGAATGTTTCGTGCTTTTCGGGAAACAAAAATGTAAATATTTTTTGAGTTCTCCCAGATATATTAAGGAATTCAATATAATAAATTAATAATTGATAATTAATAATTCATTATTAATAATTTATTAATATTATGATAAATAATAATTCATGTCAGTAATATAACTGACATGAAAATGCATTCAGATCATTCAGTTCCACCATGAATGTAGTAAACTTCTGCCCAAATCTGTGGGATTCCCTAGGTTCTTTGGCAACATATCTTTTTATGCCCTCTCCACTTGAATAGGGGGGATGTTGAGTTTTTTCTTTTTCTTTTCTGTGTGTGTGTGTGTGTGTGGTTCCTCACTTTTCATTGTTCATAATAGCATTTTAGAAATTTGGAAGCAATGTTGCAAGCAGTGGCTGCTCCATGTTAAGTCTTGGTGATGGAACAATAGATTTTAAAAGGGATATATGCTGTATCTATCTATACTCCATCCTCACTCATGGCTGGAGGGAAAAGTCTGTGCCAAAGGTTTACCGTATGGATTTGGAGCAGCATTCTTAGCTCCAGGGACAGACTCAAGGCCAGGAGGAGTAGGAAACAGATGCAACCTATACACCTGTGAATTCCTTCCTTTCCCTGCCCCTTTCCCCTCCCCAGGCTTGCATTTACCTTTGGTCTTGCTCATTCAAAACCCACAACCATGGGAAAGCTGCTTCCTCATGAGTGCTGTGCTCTTTCATAATTCACAGAATCAAGTCAGTCATGCTTGTAATAGCATTTATCCTCATACAGATTTCCAGCTTAATATGTACCGTGGCCAGGGGCTCCATGCTGAGTCCACTGTCCTCCAGCCTTGCCCGGCCCTCCGGCTTCATGATATTTTGTGTGTTGAACAAAGCTGTGCTCCTCACGCTAGTGAACTGCTGCATTGGAAGTAAAAGACTCTGGATTAGCAAACAATAAGATTGAAAGAAGGATTGGATATGTATGTGAATGACAAGGATAGCCACGATCATTTTAATAAATTATAGTAAACTATTGGGAGGAAATATTAAACATCGTAGTTAAGGTGTTTATCAGATTTCCAACTGCTAGAAACAGGGATGAGAAGGAATGAGGAGGACAGGTCATCCCATATCTGTCACACACAGTTTTTTACACTGAAGCTTTTGGTACTGGTCTAGATCTTTCCCCGTATGGGCCTAATCCTAGAATTATCCATTTTTTAAATAGAGATTATATTAAGACTTATTTTGTAAATTCACCTAGAAAAAAAGGGAACACATAGTATGAACTGGGGAAAACACAATACTTTTTAAGTCCACCATTGAGTTAAATGCTTAAATCTCAAGTTTGTAGAAAATCAGAATGTCTTTACTGCAGGAAATTCTAAAATTTCAAATTTTGGTTCTGTCCTGAATTGTGATAAAAAGTAAAAAATCTCCCTTTTTTTTTTTTTTGTAAAATGGAATATTATGAGAGTATTTTCATTCAATCCTTTCAAGTGGTTAGTTTCAATAGGAGTAAGGTTAAAGTTTTCTACTTTATTATTTGAGAATATTATAATGGAATATGTTACATTATATGTTATTATATAATAAAATATATTTCCTATCAGAAATTGCGATAAAATTTAATGCTTTCTTATGAAAAGTTTCAGTTTAGTCAAGCGGGCATGTTCCATAGGGGGAAAAAAATTGACCAAGTGTTTAAATGTGATATTTCCACTGAATTGCTGGTGAGGAAATGTGTAATACTGCATTTCAGAGCGTGGATATTCTAGGAAAGTATTTCTATAACTATTTTGCTGTCATTGGGATTCTAATAAATATCTCACTTTTGAGGTGCTTTATAAGTCAGAGCTGGCCAGAGTTTGGTCAGATATTCTGTTGGTGCTAAATTAGCAGATCTTCATAGCTTTAATGGTGCTATACCTGTTTCCAGAAGCTGAGGGTATGGGTTGCATGCCTACAACTCTGATTTGGTGTTAGTTTTAATTGACATTGTAAATTACATTGATTTCTTAAACCGTGTCACTGGACTTGATTTTATGCATCTTCTTTTAGCTGTTTTTATAAATAAATAATTCTGCAGCTTCCCAGAGGACTCCAGAGGTGACCTTGAAATGAATTCGTATTCATGAACTCATAGAAACTAATATATAGCAGGTTTAGTTAAAATACATAGAATCCTAAACTAAGCGGGGGGAAAGGGGATAGAGACATGTAACAGCCCAACCCAGTACTCCATCTTCTGCAGATTAGCCATTTAGTGTATCTTAGTCTTTGCTTCACATTTAGCAATTAGAGCATTTTCCCATGAATATGAACAGAAACCTCCTTTCTTTGTCTCCTTTTGTCTTTTCCATTCATTTCTTCCTCCCTGTCTGAGTTTCAGACTCCAACCCGTCCATATTTTCTTAGGTTCTGGCACTCCTATAAAGAACTGATTGAAGTTAATGGAAAGATTTCACTGGAATTTGGATTAGGCCTTACATTTCTATTTTGGTTTGTACAGTGCATCTTCTCTGCTCTGATATATACCTACCCAAGCAAGCCCTTTGCAAAACTGGAGGACCATCTGGAGACATGGACTGAGGGCTTCAAAGTAATGTCTTCTGATCAACAGCTGCCAAGGGATTTGACAGACCTGGAACAGAGATCTGTTGCAGGTGTTCACATGAGAGTGCAAAGGGGACAAGAAGAGGAATGAGGATGTGGCCTTTGGCTCTAATGCTCCCTAAGCTTACCTGTGTTTCCTTGAAAGTACTGTAACTTATAGCATCCACTTTGTACCCATCTAGCTGCATTTGTCTCCCAGCTTTTATTATGCTGTGTGTCCTTTTCTCCTTACCCTTCTCCAATCATATTTGGTTTTCATGCGAGACTACTAGAATTGATTGTATAGATGTCACCATACAAGAAACCATGCTTGGCACTGTGGAGGGAAGGAAACCGACTTAACACCTAGAGAGAAGCAAAATGAGGACCTGAGGGTAGTAGCATGAAAATGTGTTCAAAGCAGGGTGAGGTCTGAGAGTTTCATCCATAAAGAAGCTGAGAGGAAACTGCCATACCCAAAGTTGAGTCTGGGGAGAATTAAAAGATTGAGTCTGGGGAGAACTGAAAGACCTGTGGGATGTCTACCTTAGTTATAAAACCTGTACAAAGGCTGCTTTTGCCTTTACTTAAACAGATGTAAAAAAAAAAGTTTCCATAGAAACTTCTTACTTTTGAAACTGAGAATCACTGAAGGAAATTAATAGATGCATAGATTTTTAAAGCCAGAGCAGATTATTGTGATTATTGTGTCTAACACACTGCATGATAGAGGCCAGAGAAATTCAATTATTGTCTCCCACATTAACCTCAATAACTTGTGGTTGCAAGGAAAAATACTTTTGATAAAACATGTTGTTTTTTTTTCCTTGCATGAATACAGCCAGAGCAAGGATGAGGCATTTAATAGATTTTATGGTAAAAAAAAAATAGCAACTTTTAAAACTCTGGTCTATATTTAAAATGTTACTTCATAAAGGCTGTTGTAAGAACAATACAAGATACAAGGTTAGTACTTCTCCTGGAATTAAAAGCTAATTGATTCCAAAATACACTGGGATTAATTGCTTCCAAAATACACTGGGATTGTATTCCTGCTGCCTGCATTTAATAAGGGAATAGTAATTGTCAGTATCTCGTTAAAATGAATCCTCTTCAGGAAAAGCTGAAACATGCATATAAAATATAATAATGTTATAATAACTGAGACTGTAGTGAGGCACTAACAGGAGACTGTTAACGTGGGTAAGTGCAAGACAATGGGATTTTTATAAAAAAATGCTAAGAAAATTGCGTTCTCTTATAGAGAAAAACATGGTAGAGCTATTCAGAGGAAATAGTAGCTCATTGACGAAATGCATGCTACAGTACGTCCCACAGTTACAAGACTCTAGTATTTATTAACAGTGACCTAGATTGGAGGAGACAATAAAAGCTGTTGCTGTGAAGAACAGATTGACTGGCAAGCTCATCTGGACAATAAAGTATTGAAATATGGGCTGTATATGGAAGTTTACTAACACTGCTTACACAAAGACCTACAGTTTGGGAAGGGAAGCGTTATAGGCACAAATGGATTTTGAACTATCGCTTGGAACTTATGGATATTTACATGTAGCTTTTACATTGACCTCTATTGCTTTACATGAACATCTATCAAGGAGGGTATAGCCTGATTATATTTTTTAGTAAATCAAAATGTGAACCTGTCCAAAAATAGATGTGCGTGTTTAGTTAAAATATTGCTGACTGGGGTGGCCACTGGGAATATAGATCTTTTTGTCCATGAGTGTCCTGAGTGGGTTGTCAGTCGGATATTGTTACTAGGGTTTATTTCACTGCAATTGATCCTGAAATTGTAAATAACAAGGAGATGGGAAATTCTTATGATTTGTTTTCTAATGCATGTTCTCAAGGAATTCAGCATTTCTGGCTGCTGACCAGGTAATTTTCCTTAAAGTTTGTTCTGGGTGATGCAGTCATAGGTTATTTTTTTTCTTTTGTTAAGTAATTTGTACTGATGCTTCTTGCAGAACATATATTCAGTTAACCCTTACACAGAATATAAACCTGAATGCAGGGTTGCTCCATCAGTCCTTGAATGACTGAAGAGGGTCATTTAAGTAACTGCTTATAGAGCTGTAAAGACTGATGTTCCCCTATGGTGATATATTACTGAATAATCATCAGTTGGGCTGTGTGCAGTGGGAGGATTTACATCTAGGGGAGACATCTGCTATTTACAGAACTATTCTTTCTCTCTTGACCTTTGGGGATTTTAAGCATAAATTCATGCCATCTCCATCATTAACATATGATGGTTTATTCACAGGACAGTGAACACTGGTCAGCGGGATGACCAAGTAACACTACTGCAAGAGGCATTATGCTGCTGCAGGGCCTGGGGGAGATGGGGAGGCTGCAGGATGGTACATGGTCTCAGTTTTACTGGCCTCAGATTTCTTAAGATCTAAAGAGATCTCCATGTTGTTGATGTCGAGTACTTGAAATCTCAGGAGGCAGTTGTCTTGAATTTGATAATATGTGAAAACTTTACCTAGGATTCACTGAGACAAAAATTACAAAGCCAGTTTATTCCAATGCCAGTTTATTGTAATCCTGAAACTACTCCTTATAATTTTGTGTTTCCTTAAAGTGGACTTATAGATTTGTTCATTGAAAGGCCAAGAGGGCCTTTGTGATCATGAATTCTGAACTCCTGTATATAACACACATCTCTTAGAAAAAAACACCCATCCAGTATTGGTTTAAAATTCAGCAAAGATAGAGGAGCCTCGTGAAATAATCCCAGTGCTTAATTATACTCACTGTTAAAGATTTGCACCATATTTCTACTCTTCATTTGTCTAGCCTCAACTTCAAGCAGTTGGATCTTGTTACACCTTTGTCTGCTATACAGAATTGCCTGTTATGAACATTTTGTTCCCTGTGTAGGTGCTTGTAGACCAGGGCTGGGCAAAATGGCCAAAACAGCTGGCGCCAGACTCATTTCCCAGCAGCCCCTGCCTGCATGGCTCAGGCTGGTCTCCATGGTGACCCCAGCTGCAGCTGTACTGTGAAAGCTCTAGGCTGGGGTTGCCATGGAGACCAGCCCCAGCCGTGCTGGCAAGGCGCGTGGCAGAGCAGGGCAGGGGGCTGCTTTGGAGCCGCTGGGATCTTGCGATGGGGGCAGCTTGCTCCGGAGCCAGGGGATAGCCCTGATCTGTTGCCTGCATGCTCTGGGCAGGAGCGCACAGATAGGAGATTGCGGCTCTGCCCCTGCTCCATACCAGGCTGCAACCGCTGCAAGGGGCTGGGGCAGAGCCACAATCTCCTTTCTGCGCCCCTGTGCCCAGAGTGTGCATGCTACAGATCACGGCTATCCCCTGGCTCTGGAGCAAGCTGCCCGCATTGCAAGATCCCAGCAGCTCCAAAGCAGTCCCCTGCCCTGCTTTGTCATGCACCTGGCCAGCACAGCTGGGGCTGGTCTCCATGGCAACTGGATATGGCCTGTGGACTGGACTTTTCCATCTCTGTTGTAGACTGTAGTCAAATGAACTGTTAACCTTCTCTGGGAAGTGCTAAACAGATTGAGCTCTGTGAATACTTGAGTACACCACATTTTCCAAACCTATAATCATTTTATAGTTCTTCTCTGAGTCCCCTCCAACTTATCAGTTTCCTTTCCAAACTGTAGGAACCAGAACTGGATGGATTAATCCAAGAGTTGTTTCAGTGGAGCCTAACACAGAGGTAACTTCTCCTCCCTCCAGCCGCAAGAGACTTTCCCTGACTAAATCTCCTAGGATAGTATTATTTTTATAGACACACTAATAGTATATGGGGTTCATGATATGGATAATCAGTACCTGAATTTTCAGAGTCACTCATCCCAGGATAGTGCCCCAACCTGTAAAACTGCCTTACATTCTTTGTTTTTAACTATATAACTTCACGTCTTGGCTGTTTAAACTACATATTGTTTGCTTGTGCCCAGCTAGCAGACAACCAGTTTGTAGACCAGTTGGTCATCAGAGATCTGTCCATTCATTGTTTTCCATGTTCCCAATATTTATATCACCTGCAACATTTATCGGTGATAATTTTGTTTTCCTCTGTGTCGGGCATGTTCATCCTCTGCCCCGAAGCCAAATGTGGCCCTTGGACCATGGCATCTAGCCTGCAGGGCTTTGCAAGGGTTGGGAAATTTGGCATTGGGGGACTGATAGCAATTAATATGGCCACCTTCCCCCACTGCCAAATTCCCAAACCCCAAGCCCTACACGGTAGGTCAAGGCTGGGCCATGCTTCCTCCCACCCCTGCCCCCCACCATGGATCTAGGCTGAGCTGGGCCATGCTTTCTCTCTCTCTGCAGCTGGTTCCAGGCCAGGCCAGGCCACACCCCTTTTCCCCCCATGGCTGGATGAGGGCCAGGCCACACTCCCTCCCCACTGCAGGGTTGGGTCGGGACTGTGTCAAGCCCCTTTCCCTCTCCATGGGGCTGGATTGTGGCCAGTCTGCTCCTTCCCCCTCCCCCCCATTTTGCACAGGCAGATGGGCCCACCATGACTGCTCTGGGTTCCAGATCAGGACCACCAGCTGGATCCAGCCTGTGGATGTACTGGCCCCTGCCCATCTGGCCCATGGGCCAAAAAGCTTGAGCACCACTGCTCTAAGTCCCTGATAAAAAATATAAATGAAATAAGGAAAACTGATCCTTGTGGATCCTTACTGGACAGCTGCTTCATGAGTCCCCATTTAAAATTAAATGTTTGAGACTGTCAAAGTCAGGTTTTTACCAGGCTGTAGAAAAAAGATGCATAAAAACAATTTTGTTGCTATGCATGTTTTTAATTTCTGAGGATTAGACATACTGATTTGCGTTCTGTAGTTGGTGTATTTTCATTAAGAGTAGGTGAAAAATAAGTATACTCGGTGTGCTCTAAGGCATCTCCCAGCTTCTTGGTAAATCAAAACAAATAGGTCGAGCATGGGATTATTATTATTATTTCTATTATGGTAGTGCCTCTAGGCTTTATGTGAGATCAGTGTCCCACTTGGCTCAGCAGTGCAAAAACAAAAAACTGAATATGTCATTGAATCTTACTGTGT